AAGTAAAATGGATGTTTTATTCAATGGTGTCTTTGGCGAGAACTTAGAAAACTTGAGTTCCAGATAAAGCAGCAAAAATATTCTAAATAAAGAGTTTTATCTTAAACTGAAACAGATGTTTTTAGGTGGATGTTTCTTTTATGTGGCTAAAATACATTTGATTTCAATGTATTTGCTTGTTCACCACCTACAAACACAACACTAACATACATTATCATCAGGAAATGTAGAGACTTTTACTTTGAAGACACTGAACTACAAAATAAAACATCAGAGACGAGTCGAATAAAACACTGTATTTGAATTTTATTATTTTCTTTCGAGTGATACATCTACGTAAAAGATTCATGGCCTCGCATGACAAATACGGTACAGTTTTTTTTACAGCTATTACAAGATATTTAAAGAACAATAGTGTTTTTACATTCTGCGAGATATGTATAGGACCTAACAGGAGGTCAGTATACGCTGCGGCTCGCCCAATCAAGCCGTTAAAAACAAATCTCAACATCACAGTTATGAATGTAAACCAAAAATGTAGTGCTGCAGATAGCCGTCATCTTTCAAAAGTGATACGAAAGGTCCATGGTCATCCCTCGGGGGCCATTTATTTAAAAATAGAGGGACCATTTTCCAAGATAGCCGCCATTTCCAGTCGTGGAATCAGTATTTTTCCACATCATTTTAACCACTGGATGCATTTTGATGATTGGTGTTGGATCATATGTTTTTGACTGTGGGGAAATCACAAAAACTTCTCCAGAGCTTTGTGTGTCATTTCAAACTCAAAATGTGGGGCTTATTAGAAAGCATTTGAGACACTACACCACATTAATACTAGGGTTTTGTCTACACCGGGTAACAGGAGCGCTGCGCCCTCAAACCAAAATGCAGATTTTCCCCATAAAATGTTAAAGTGATACCAAAAAACAATATTTCTGTTCGTCAAAAACGGTATAATTCCTCCAGAAATGTGAGTATCAAACGGAGCGTAGACGCAGAGACAGCTTTGTTTTTACGGAGCTCCGACGTCACGTCGTTGTTTACGTCCGCAGAGACATCTTGTTTACGAGTGTCATGTTCTCGAGATAATTGATATATCTTATAAACAAGATCAGAGACACAGTACTCATACTATATCTTTCTAGAAAAACCCCTGAATACTCATACTAGTCTTCTAGCATTTGTAATTCCTGACGTCTGAATTTGGTTTAAAATGCTTAATTGTATGATTTGACACCAAGATAATTTATATAGGGATTTTATGGCAAACAAAATGACATTACCGAGTCATCATTGGTGGCCATCTTGGGTTTTGGCTAACGGGCTTTTTCTACCTCAAAGTTTGCTTTTGAAAGTGTACAAATATCTCCAGCACTATACTTCATCTTCAGGGAGCGTTCCCAGAAGTCTACTGAACAGAACGACAACATTTTTGGAAACTTTAAAGATAAGATTACATGACATTGGATCTTAAATGGTGTGTGATTGACAGTCTCTCACACACACACACACACACACACAGAGATGTTGACGTGTGTGGCCAAGGTGGCAATGGCACATGAGCTCAAACGCCTCGTTTCGTGACGTACAAAAAGGGGAAATTCACAAGAGAATAGCAAATCTTAAAGGTTTCCCAGCCTCTTCTGCAGAGTTACAGTCAGGTGTGTCGAAGCACCGGTGGAGTTGTTGTGTATTTGTTTCAAAAAGTTTTTAAAAAGCACGTCTTAAAGGGTCGGGAGCGGAGGTGAAAGCATTTACACGCCTGCAAGCTCTTTGTATGTAAAAATAATACAAATGATATACTGAATGCACGAGTCAGCCATGTTTGAGATGATTACAGTACCTTTTATAGCATCATCCCTGCGGGGGGGAAGGACTCCGTCGCGTTTCCCCTCGTTTAAAAACATTCTGTATAATCAGCAGTAGATGGAGACACTGATGCAGCTTTAGAAAGCCTCAACATAACACCACGTTTTTAAGTATTTGACAGTAAAACACAAATTAAAATGTTTAAAAAAACTGATATTTTTCAAGATATAGTGATAATCAGTTTGTGTTATGGCGAGCAGTTCCTCTGATTTCTGAAGAAGAGTGGTGCAGGAATGAGTCCTAAAAACCTGGACATGAGTCAGCATTTTAGCACTTCCTGTGCCCTGGTCTCGAGGTCAATGGGTTTCTGAATGTGTTTTTGGTCTGAAATCAGGTCTATGGTTAACAGAAGCTGAAGAGATGTCAACGTTTTGTTTTACGACATAAATTACTTCAGTAAATACCCCACTGGTGGATTTAAAAACGCCGGTTGCTAACAAGTGTCTAGATGAGACGATTAAACGTCATCACGCCCAACATTAGCCGCCTTTAGCTTAGCGGTGGTGACGTGAAGTCATGTGACCGTGCTGTAGTTCCTTTATAGCCCAACATTAGCCGCCTTTAGCTTAGCGGTGGTGACGTGAAGTCATGTGACCGTGCTGTAGTTCCTTTATAGCCCAACATTAGCTACCTTTAGCTTAGCGGTGGTGACGTGAAGTCATGTGACCGTGCTGTAGTTCCTTTATCGCCCAACATTAGCCACCTTTAGCTTAGCGGTGGTGACGTGAAGTCATGTGACCGTGCTGTAGTTCCTTTATAGCCCAACATTAGCCACCTTTAGCTTAGCGGTGGTGACGTGAAGTCATGTGACCGTGCTGTAGTTCCTTTATAGCCCAACATAAGCCGCCTTTAGCTTAGCGGTGGTGACGTGAAGTCATGTGACCGTGCTGTAGTTCCTTTATAGCCCAACATTAGCCACCTTTAGCTTAGCGGTGGTGACGTGAAGTCATGTGACCGTGCTGTAGTTCCTTTATAGCCCAACATTAGCCTCCTTTAGCTTAGCGGTGGTGACGTGAAGTCATGTGACCGTGCTGTAGTTCCTTTATAGCCCAACATTAGCCACCTTTAGCTTAGCGGTGGTGACGTGAAGTCATGTGACCATGCTGTAGTTCCATTATAGCCCAACATTAGCCACCTTTAGCTTAGCGGTGGTGAAGTGAAGTCATGTGACCGTGCTGTAGTTCCTTTATAGCCCAACATTAGCCACCTTTAGCTTAGCGGTGGTGAAGTGAAGTCATGTGACCGTGCTGTAGTTCCTTTATAGCCCAACATTAGCTTTTTACTTCAGAAATCATAAAGTGGTGTGAATATGTGGAGATTATCCTGCTGAACTAAACGTGTCAGTATCAGAAACGTTTGTTTGACACGGAGATTAATTTCAGAAATAATCCAAAATTACATGGAGAAATCCCATTGGACCAGGGAGATGCTGCCTTCAGGGTCCAACACAGAAATACCTCATCCCTGCACCGCTGTATTAGAGTAAGAACTATAATTGTGGGAGTGTCGGCAGGTCGTTGTGTTGACGGAGTAAGACTTGCTGTTCTGTAATTCCCTTTTTTTTGGTTTATCCTAGTTTCCATCAAGTGAACACAAGTGGTAGCGAACACAGAGCATCGTTAACCCTTCACTTCACTGAAGGATGCACACATTACAACACGGGAACAAAGTGTTGTAAGTTATGATCTAAACACTGAACAAAAATGCACTCGGCATCTTTGGGGATTCCTTCAAAGTTTTGTGGACATTTTTATATAAATACGACTTTAAGTCCTCATTAAATATCTGCTTCAAGTATAAAATGATTAATCTTCAATAATTGTTCGGATATAATTAACTTCCCTTGTTCTTTTTTCACCTTTTAACACATACATAATTTATCTTTCCACCGAATCATACGGTGGCCAACAGGTGCAAAACCGTCAACATCTCTTCCATTAGGAGAAACGATGCAGATAAAAAAACACGTTCTAAAATACACAAAGAAACATCTTCACCGGAGCGCTTGGGGACGTTCAGGCTGAACAACTGTCTCAGAGTTAGTCGTCTCATAACTGGGAGTGTTTGTCACCAGAGAAGTACACACATCCTTTACTCAGGTAGAAGTACAGATACTCGTGTTTAAAAATACTCTGGTAAAAGTAGAAGTACTGACTAAACTTCTTTACTCACGTAAAAGTAAAGTAGTATGGGCTTTGAAATGTACTTAAGTAAAAAGTACCCATAACTACTAGCTGTTTAAAGAGTACCTGATACACGGATCGTGTTCAAATCATGGATGTATAATAAGAACTGGATACAGCGTGGGAGGCGGGGTCTCGTTCTTTCCCATGAGAGCTGCTCATTGGCTCATGAGGACAAAATGGCCCAACTTTTGAGAGAGCGAAACGTCACAGATTACCCAGCATGCCTGGCTGTCAGAGCAGAAGAACCCGTATGTGCGCTCACAGAGCATGCGCAGTTGAGTTGCCCCTTAAGCCCCGCCCCCGAGCTCCCACTCTCAGATGCGTGTTCATAATGCCGAGGAAAATAACTCTCAGAATAACGTTATTAGCACATTTTTACAACTTGAGGACCGAATGTTTTTAATAAGGGCTATACAAGTGTTCATACTGGGTAGTTTATTTAGTTAAAAAAAAATTATCCAACGATTTACAGATGTCTCTTTCCCAATGTAAGTCAATGGGAAAAAGTGTTTCCGGGCCCAGAGACTGATACGGAAGTGTAGTACCGCCGTTTGGCCACAACGAATATTTTCCTCAGAGTCCGGCGCACTTCCTGGGGGCTTGGTTCAAATCAATAGGCACGCAATGACTCTAAATAATAATGATCACACCACCAAACACACATTCAAACTAAAGTAACCAGCCTGTTTGGAAAATGTAAGAAGTAGAAAGTACAGGTATTTGGGTTCAACATGTAAGAAGTAGAAAGTACAGGTATTTGTTTTCAAAATGTAAGAAGTCAAAGTAAAAAGTCGTCAGAAAAATAAGTCGTGGAGTAAAGTACTGATACCAGAAAAATGTACTTAAATACAGTAACAAAATATTTGTACTTCACTACTTCCCACCTTCAGTATATCTGAAATGACTAGGTTAGCTACGTTAGCTAGCTAGCTCACAGCAGATCTGCAGTAACATCAGAAGGAGTCATGTGATCACATTGTTAAAATAAGACCATAAAACATTTCAGGTAAGTTTCCAACAACAGAGACAGTTCTCTAAACGCTGCACGTGTTGTCAAGCTGCTGAAGATGTTTCGGGAACATTTGTGTTTTTATATCTGCGTCCTTTCTGAAGCTGCAGCGTGTTTCTCCTGATGGAAGAGTTTTGTTGACGCGTGTTCGCACCCGTCGGAAAGCGTAGAAACACACAAGGAAACACTGCTCTGTTTGTAGAAGTGTTAACTGTGCTCTTTCCCAAACACATGGAGAACAATTATTTTTAAAAGGAAACTAAAACTGCTTGGATCCATCTATCCGTCCCAACTCAAGTTTATAAAATAATCTTTTAGATACGCCTGCAAAGTGTCTTCATTGAATGTCGCTACTAAATCTAATATATGTAATCTTTAATAAATACTTTCCCTCCCTTTAGAGCGCCTGTTTGTTTCTCAGCGCCGACGCCTGCGTTTGATCTACCGACGAGTCCGCTTCTTTCCCTCGTCTTTCTACTGATGAAGACGAGGGAGAGGCAGTTTCAGTAGAGGGGGAGGACAGAGAGAGGAAGAGGGGGAGGTGAAATGGAGAGGAAGGTGTTTCCGTTCCCTATCCGTCGGTGCCGTTCTTGTTGGTGTTGATGCTGTCGGGTGTCTTCCCGTCTTTTCGCGGCGGCATCCTCTCGTTGATACGATCTAGACCGCGAGCCTCCTCGAAGTTTCGGATCTTCCTCGTGGGGGAGATATCTTGAATGGCTGCGGAGAAACGAGAACACATCAAATGAATCAAAAGGGTGGAGAAACCCTGGAGGAACTTCCTACTGATGTCCCAACATTTAAACATTCAGGGTTCCCAATGGCTTCAGAATGATTCATAGGACGTCTTCATATTCAGGGGGTCACTGTACATTATTTAAATATATTGTTATTGTATTTAATTATATTCTAACGCACACTATAACTTGAATTGTTTAACATGTTTTTTATTATTTTATAGCAACTGTGCCTGAACTCGTCCGGCGGTGGCTCAATCTGTAGGTAATTATCCTGGGAACCATAGGGTCGCCGGTTCAATTCCCCGAACAGACGTTAATATAGAGAGAGTGGCCTGGTACTTGGAGAGGTCCCAGTTCCTCTCTACGCCCTTGAGCAAGGTTTATTTTTTAGCTTAAAATCAATGATAAGAAGCCGATGTACCGAATGACATCATCTTCATAGTGTGCATTATTTAAACATTAGATTGTATTTACTTGCCAATCCCTGGACTTTTTCAGGTCTTCATGAAACACTTGCATGTCCACCGTGACCTTTGACCCCTAACCCATCACAGTCCTCCTGCTTTTTATTCATTTTACTTTATTATTTGCTATTTGTTTGTTTTGTTGTCTGTCCTGACCTCATGTAAAGCTGCCTTGGGTCTTGGGGTTTAAAAACACTCGATAAATAAAGTATTTTGCTTCTGAAAATGTAGAAATAGAATAATAATACAAGTCCTTTCTACCCTCTAGTGCAGCGGTTTTTATTTTAATTAGAAATGGAGCTGGCCATCAGTAACAAACAGACATTTGCATTACACGGTTTAGTTGAATACTCGATTCTGATTGGTCAATTCAGAACATGTGACACGTTGTTAATCCAGTAGAACAGACCGCTGTCAAAGACTTTAATGACCGTTGCTAAGGAGGATCAAGAAAGTAATTAAAAAAATCTTAATAATGAAAATGTTTCCACACAAATCATAATGTTTTACAAATTATGTGGCGGCCCACTTGTAATGCCTTCGCGGACCACTAGGGGGCCGCGGACCACAGGTTGGGAGCCGCTGCTCTAGTGTCTATTCTTCTTGTGTTTAATTAGCCTTTGTGATGTGAACGCACAGCCTGCCACAGAACAGATGAGTGAAACCAACCCAATCTCACAAAAAACGTGTAATAGCTCCGTTGGTCCACAACCACGTAGTATATTCACAAATAACCCTCTCAAGACGTGGATACAATATGTTGTAAAAAAATACATGGAGCTCAAATAATCTTCGTAATATCTATCAAACTATGGATCCTACTCATCCACTGGACGTCGATTCTGAAAGTACAATATACACTTCTCGCTGGAAATGTCATCAAAAAGCATTTTAACGGACAAACTATCCTACAATTTAGGATTTTCCCCTCACGCTGGGAAAGTTTGCGATCACGTGACACGGACACCGGTCATTAGAAATGAATAGGAAAACATATTGTATCCATGTCACGTCTTGAGAGGGTTATTTGTGAATATACTACGTTTTTCCGTGTGGACGAACGTCGCTATTACACGTTGTTTTGTGAGACTGGTTTGTCCTGCCACAGAACACATGAAAACCACAACTACCGTCACAGAAACAGCTCACACAGAGGAGACTTACGGAAACGTCCGGAACATCCAGGGAACCAGAGGAAACGTGAGCAGATACAAAGCAAACTCGTTCAGAAACAAACTCTTACATCATTTCACTTTTTATATGTTCGATAACAGAGGAACAAGGGGGCAGAGGAGCTCTTGCAGAACCAGACGTCTGTGAACTAGTACTTCTACTTTTACTACAAGATCTGAGTACTTCTACTTTTACTACAAGATCTGAGTACTTAAAGTAGTGATTAAATCATTTAAATATTTAGCTAAAAGTAATTATTGAACAGCTAAATTAATAAGATGATTAAACGGTGGACTAGTAGTTTTTATATAATAATAATAATGAATACACAGTTGAGATGAATATCTAAGGTATGAATGGAAGTGAAAAGTTATTATTGAATAGTGGAAATAACCCTTTATATTTGATAGATATTAGATATTAGATAACATAAGAGTCCCTATGACTGCAGAAGCACTTCCTGGCTCTTCCCACAGGGGGGGGGCAGTCTGCAGATAAACAACTAACAGGATTAAGTTGTGGAAACATCCGGCAGGGACGCCCCGCTCTGAGCTCTGAGTCTTAGAGAGCTTTCCTCTGACAGGGAACTCTCCTCTACAAACAGGGCTTACTGGAGAGACACTGGGCTTACTGGGAGAGACACTGGGCTTACTGGAGAGACACTGGGCTTACTGGAGAGACACTGGGCTTACTGGAGAGACACTGGGCTTACTGGAGAGACACTGGGTTTACTGGAGAGACACTGGGCTTACTGGAGAGACACTGGGCTTACTGGAGAGACACTGGGCTTACTGGAGAGACACTGGGCTTACTGGAGAGACACTGGGCTTACTGGGAGAGACACTGGGCTTACTGGGAGAGACACTGGGCTTACTGGGAGAGACACTGGGCTTACTGGGAGAGACACTGGGCTTACTGGAGAGACACTGGGCTTACTGGGAGAGACACTGGGCTTACTGGGAGAGACACTGGGCTTACTGGAGAGACACTGGGCTTACTGGGAGAGACACTGGGCTTACTGGAGAGACACTGGGCTTACTGGGAGAGACACTGGGCTTACTGGAGAGACACTGGGCTTACTGGAGAGACACTGGGCTTACTGGAGAGACACTGGGCTTACTGGAGAGACACTGGGTTTACTGGAGAGACACTGGGCTTACTGGAGAGACACTGGGCTTACTGGAGAGACACTGGGCTTACTGGGAGAGACACTGGGCTTACTGGAGAGACACTGGGCTTACTGGAGAGACACTGGGTTTACTGGAGAGACACTGGGCTTACTGGAGAGACTGGGCTTACTGGAGAGACACTGGGCTCACTGGAGAGACACTGGGCTCTTAAAACACTTTCATGATCAATCATTATAAAACATATCATATATATTATTCTGAAATGGACCAATCTGCACAATGACTACTTTCACTGTCGCTACTTTCACTATATTTTGATGATCATACTTTTCTACTTTTACTTGAGGAACATTTTGAATGCAGGACTTTTACTGTAACAGAGTATTCCTACACTCTGGTACTTCTACTTTTACTCAAGTACAAGATCTGAGTACTTCTACTTTTACTCAAGTACTAGATCTGAGTACTTCTACTTTTACTCAAGTACAAGATCTGAGTACTTCTACTTTTACTCAAGTACAAGATCTGAGTACTTCTACTTTTACTCAAGTACAACATCTGAGTACTTAGATCTTTATCTTCAGCGTCAACGTTTACATGTGTATTTTCTACTCTTTTTTAATTGGTTATTATGTGCAATTCTTTTTTTTACATGCTGCTGCAACAAAAACACGTCCCACTTTGTGATGAATAAAGTACATCTGATCTTATCGGCCATCTAGCACGTCTAAAGTGCTTCATAACATTTGACAGTCCTGGTATCAGGGTTATCTAACAGACGCTGATAATGCAAGAGTAACACAGCCGTGATGGATAGAAACTGAGACACGAACAGGACTACAGAAGTGTTTAAAGGGAACCACACACAGAGAGTGAACAGCTGACTGCGTACCTTGTGCTTTAGCTGCCTCAATGGTAGCTACGTTAAAGAGAATTAAAGGAGGAGAAAAGGCAGTCGTCAACAACAACAAACACAACAACAGTGATGTAAAACCCCCGGAGACAAACAGAGTGAAACCGTCAGCAGAAACATGTCAGTGAGGAGCTCTAAGATGGAGTTAAAGGGTCATCAGGACTTACAGGTGTGCAGAGGAGGATTTGGTGCTAAGAATCTTAAAAGGGGGGAAGGGGCACTTTGTGAACTAATGACTATTTACAAACCCTTTAAAGCCTTGATTTCATCCCTTCAGTTCATAATGTGTCACAACATGTATGGATTCAGAGTTTTCCATATACTCACTGTCCTAAGTGTTTTAGTTTTTTAGCTTTTAAAGGTCTCCTATTATGCAAAATCCACTTTTATACATCAACATGTGTCCCCTCTGTGTAAAGAGACTCCCTACCCTGAACATCAGCAGGAGAGGACTCTTTAAAGTAGAGACACTACATACTGATATACACCTGAACATCAGCAGGAGAGGACTCTTTAAAGTAGAGACACTACATACTGATATACACCTGAACATCAGCAGGAGAGGACTCTTTAAAGTAGAGACACTACATACTGATATACACCTGAACATCAGCAGGAGAGGACTCTTTAAAGTAGAGACACTACATACTGATATACACCCGAAAAATCAGCTGGAGAGGACTCTTTAAAGTAGAGACACTACATACTGATATACACCTGAACATCAGCAGGAGAGGACTCTTTAAAGTAGAGACACTACATACTGATATACACCTGAACATCAGCAGGAGAGGACTCTTTAAAGTAGAGACACTACATACTGATATACACCTGAACATCAGCAGGAGAGGACTCTTTAAAGTAGAGACACTACATACTGATATACACCTGAACATCAGCAGGAGAGGACTCTTTAAAGTAGAGACACTACATACTGATATACACCTGAACATCAGCAAGAGAGAACTCTTTAAAGTAGAGACACTACATACTGATATACACCTGAAACATCAGCGGGAGAGGACTCTTAAAGTAGAGACACTACAAACTGATATACACCTGAACATCAGCAGGAGAGGACTCTTTAAAGTAGAGACACTACATACTGATATACACCTGAAACATCAGCAGGAGAGGACTCTTTAAAGTAGAGACACGACATACTGATATACACCTGAACATCAGCAGGAGAGGACTCTTTAAAGTAGAGACACTACATACTGATATATACCTGAACATCAGCAGGAGAGGACTCTTTAAAGTAGAGACACTACAAACTGATATACACCTGAACATCAGCAGGAGAGGACTCTTTAAAGTAGAGACACTACATACTGATATACACCTGAACATCAGCAGGAGAGGACTCTTTAAAGTAGAGACACTACATACTGATATACACCTGAACATCAGCAGGAGAGGACTCTTTAAAGTAGAGACACTACATACTGATATACACCTGAACATCAGCAGGAGAGGACTCTTTAAAGTAGAGACACTACAAACTGATATACACCTGAACATCAGCAGGAGAGGACTCTTTAAAGTAGAGACACTACATACCGATATACACGCTGAACATCAGCAGGAGAGGACTCTTTAAAGTAGAGACACTACATACTGATATACACCTGAACATCAGCAGGAGAGGACTCTTTAAAGTAGAGACACTACATACTGATGTACACCTGAACATCAGCAGGAGAGGACTCTTTAAAGTAGAGACACTACATACTGATGTACACCTGAACATCAGCAGGAGAGGACTCTTTAAAGTAGAGACACTACATACTGATATATACCTGAACATCAGCAGGAGAGGACTCTTTAAAGTAGAGACACTACATACTGATATACACCTGAACATCAGCAGGAGAGAACTCTTTAGTTTAATTTGAGCATTGTGTAACAATTTGAAACAGCAAATGATACTGTTGCTAACAAGCTAGCTAGCTATGAGCGGAGACTATAGGAAGTGTTGGAATTGAGACACAGCATTAACAAATATTCATTCATCATCTTTTTGTTGTCATGGTCTCTTTGTTGTTTCTCTCGTTGATCTGAGAACTGAGAAGGACAATGACATTCTCCTAAAGGTCACCATCAGGTGGTTTTCTCCTTCATGGCTCTGCTACTTCTGTTAGCCTCGTGCGAAACAGAGCCAGACTCCCAGCATGCACTCTGGTGGGCGAGGCTCTGATCTAAAGGTCTGGACATGGGGGGGGGGGCGCTCAAGTCTAAGAGTAGAGAGCACTTCCTGTTGTGGGTCATTGATCCTGAAACCTACTGTTTTATCTTCGTTTTTGAGATGTTTATATTGTATAATTGTTCTGACCTGAGCTCCTCCAACAAAGCAACATATATAATAAAATACAAAAATACAAATGCTTTGGAGTGCAGAGTTGGAGAGGAGCCAAAGACACGGCAGCCATCTTTTGAGTATGAGATAAATGTACCTGAATTTCTACCTTTGGTTTCAGCAGGATTTAAAGGTCACCTATCAAGATATTTGTAGGCATATATTATGGGTCTATAATATATATATAATATATAAAAAACATGTCTGTGAAGTGTTTTGCTCAAAATACCAAACAGATCATGCATTTTAGACATCCCTCTATTTCAGCCCTGTTACTAAAGTGCTGATTCTGGGTCCGTAGCTTAATACTCAGCTAAACGCTGCCGTGATGAAACTCCATATCATGTTCCAAACCACATCAAGGATTCTCTCTGAAACAGTATGGAGCTCAAACTCTTTCTCTCTCTCAGGTTTATCACAAGGTGAGTTCCTTTTGATTTCCTGCTTCTTCACACATGCTCTCCAGTACAGGTTAGCTCTGACTGTTAGCGATGCTAATGTAAACACAGACCATATTACGTCCAAAACACGTGGCGCATTGTTTCTGACAGCAACGTTTCTGATTGGCCCGTGGGTGTAAAGCCCGCCCACATTTCAGATATTACGTCATATCGGACGCAAACCTGGATCAGCTTTTATTTTCTGACGCTGCGTGAGTCTCCTGACGCACCGGGGACACATGGTGACGTAGAAAAGACATCAGAAAGTGCATTTTGCACGATAGGAGACTTTTAAGTATGGATTTATTATAGAAAATGCATCAACCTTCACATCAGTGTGTGTGTCTTCACACCGTTTCCCTGATCCTACGGCGGCAGAATAAACTACTCACCCATCTTTGATATAAGCTTATAGTTAGGGCTGGCTCAGGCTTACCTTGAACCTTGAAAAAATAAAAAGGTTTGCACACGTTTGAAAACACATGTTGGGTGACGGGGGCGGGGGGGGGAAATGTCACTTTTGGGGGTGGAGCTGAATGGTAGATAGGAGGAGGAAGATGGAGGTTACGGAGAATAAAACCCACTCACCAGTCTGTAGGGTCTGCTTCCCCCCCGACAACACCTCCCACAGGAAGAGTCCCGGTCGGGGTGAGGCCTTTCAGCGTCAACACGTTCTCACTCTCCTCCCTGAACACACACACAGCACACACACTTTACATTTCAGCAGCACACACACACACCTGAGAGGCAATAATAGGCAATCTGTCCAATCCAAATGATCCAGATGATAAAACTTCAAAATCAACCCAAACTGTATCAAAACCAGCCCACAGAGAGCACACATATGGACATTTTCTGGTTTAAACTGCTTTTTGTGATCCTGAAAATCACAGAAATGGACCCTTAATAATACCAAAATACCATTTTATCACTGATATAGAGTGTTAGTCGACAAAACAAGATATCTAAAGACCACACCTTGGAGAAGCTGGGATGGACTTTTTAACATTTTGACCAAATCGAAAATTGAAAAAAATCTTAAAGACTTAACAATACATGTTTCTTCCACAGATTTTTCCAGATACATGCTGACTGTGTTTATATACATGTACAAATACAGTAATAAGATTCATCCAAATACCTTATTTGTTATTTACATTCCACAGATTAAGTGGAAATGCAGTGGAATCTTTTTAATGCTATTTTATTTCTGAAATATTTTGGACTGTTTATTTCTTGTGGCTTAATTTCTCTTGTGTACATTGCGTTGTACCTACCTACCTACCTACCTACCCACCCACCTACCACCTACCCACCCACCCACCTACCTACCTACCTACCTACCACAGGTCACCTACCTACCCACCCACCCCACCCACCCACCTACCTACCTACCCACCTACCTACCTACCTACACCTACCTACCACACACCTCCCTACCTACCACAGGTCACCTACCTACCTACCCACCACCCACTCCACCACTCCCACCGACCTACCTACCACCACCACCCACCTACCACCTACCTACCTACCTACCTACCTACCTACCACCTACCTACCTACCACCTACCCCCGACCTACCTACCTACCTACCTACCCCCCTACCTACCTACCTACCTACCGCCTACCTACCACCTCACCTACCTACCTACCTACCCTACCTACCTACCTACCTACCTACCTACCTACCTACCTACCTACCTACCTACCTACCTACCTACCTACTGCTCTTTGGTACGAACGAAGGGAACCGAGTCGTACTTGGTGAGAGCCGTTCTTTTTATCGTTGGTTCACTGCCTGCCATAAATCCACTCGCCTTTACAGGAACTTGCTTTCCTGAATGCAAATGTTCCGTAGATGATGGCATAACGCACGCTGCTTGAGTAGTAGTCTGGCTGAGAGATGTAGCAAGTTATACATTGTTCTGTGAGTAAAAGTAGATTTCTGGCAATACAGTCAATCATTATCCTGGTGATTGCTTCGCAGATAAACCTATTAGCCCCGCCCCCTTAAAAAACAGCTCTTTTGAACGGCTCTCGGAAAGGAACGGAGCCATAACATCCGGCTCCCTTCAAAGAGCCATAATGTAAGAGTACTACCAAGTCTACCAAATAAAGTAAGGTGTGTATAAAGAGCACGAGGCTGCATATCTCTGCAGGTCGATGTGTTACCTGAGCACGGAGAAGACTCGAGCCATCTTCCCCACGGCACGGATCTTATTCCTGATCACCTCCTTACGCATCGCTGACGTCCCACCTGGAGCACAGAGAAGGAAACAGTGAAATACTCAATACTGCTGCGTACATGCTTTACGAGTTAATGGACGTACCTAAAACATATATAAAATATAATATATTGAAGTGACTGTTATTTTGTATATATTGATTGTTGTGTTTTTATCTTAATGTGTGTATATGTGTAAATGTGTCTGTTGACTGTGTATATATATAGGATATACATATTTTATACTTAAGCAATAGCTCACGACAGGCCGTGGTATATGGCCATTATATCAACAGTTGGGCGTGGTCTGCCCGACGCGAAAGCGCACGTACTTCTCCGTTACTCCGTACTCTCCGCTGCTTTCTTGTGCCAGTTTGAAAAGCAAACTGCAGGCAGTTTGCTTTTCAGCCCAACTGTATACTGTTTTTCTCACGCGGAGGGATACTGACTTGTTGTGAAAAGTAACTTACAATTCTACCATGGTATACGCTCAGTATATCACGGCTAAGAACCATCAGATTGCTTGATTTGACTTGTCCATTTTATAAATATTTGTATACATATCTGTACATTGTATAATTGTATTTTTGTTTTCTGGATTGTTGGAAACGGTATTTCGATCTCTCTGTCTGGACACACAAACTGAAAGATTGACATTAAAGTTGACTTTGACTTTGAATATATATTGTAGTAGTACAATGTGCA